GGTTTTAGAAGTGTCTTTTTAACAGACTTCTCGTTATTTCAGGACTCGTTAAAGTGGTCTCCACTGTAATTATTTAAAACAAGAACACTATAAACTGACTTTGACATTTTCAAGATCAATCTATTTTTTCACGATGATAGGCCACACTCTTTGCAGCAAGCTTGTAACCAGTACCACAACATTGCAATCCTTAACCTGGTACCTTCAAAGGGAAAGGAAAAGAGCAAGGCCAAAGAACACTTGAAGCTGTGATGATGAAACACAGGATAGGAGGACTCGGCATTCCTAGGGACAATTGGAGAGACTGGCTAAGGATCGTGAAGACAGGAGAGATTTTAGACTAAGTAAGAGTTTTACAGCACTTGCAACACAATAGGGTTATATAAATACTGAAGATTAGAGGTGTTACAAGAGAGTAACAAACACAAAAAAGAAGGAGGGGAGATAAATACGGCAGATGTTAGACAGTAAAAAAGAAGAAACCACACCAGAGCACCCGCCAACTACTCACAGACTGGAGAGAGAGCATGTTGTGGCCATGTTGGCGGCCTATGCTCCACAAGGGACTGAAGACAGCAGAAAAAGAGACCAAAACAGTTCCAAAGTTACACCTGAGCTTTATGGCACAAGAAATGTACAAAGTGACCACAAGGAAGCCACAGTGACTCAACGTACCTGTACAGGAAAAACTGTATAGCATGCACACACATCTACTGAAGGAATGAACGAAGGCGCAGTTATTCATATTAATCATTATCACAAATGGGAAAATTCTCAGGGGTTGGTGACAATGAAAAATCTTTCCAAAACATGTTACAAAATAACTAGTCCACAAAAGTACTACATGTACTTGCCAATGTAAAAAGGTGGCATTGATATCATTCAAAAAGGCCATGACATTCTTTTTACATTACACCCCATTCCAATAACCGTGCCTTGTCCAAAAGACTTACCAGTGTCAAGGGCAAATCCAACATGACAGTTCAAAATCAAAGGTAGCCCTGTCAGTTCTTTAGTTTTAGTAAGTGGTTTTATGGCACTTGCAACACAATAAGGTCATGTAAGTGCCAAAGATTAGAGATGTTACAACAGAGAAACAAAACAAAAAAAAGGAGGAGAGATCAGGACGATAGATGTTTGATAGGAAAGAAGAAGCAAACCACATCAGAGCACCCGCCAAACACCCACCTGTCAGTTCTGCAGGAAGTAGTAGGAGTAAAATGTGTCTCGATACGGTGGAATCAGGCTCTTGTCAATTTTTGGGCATATGGAGTTATTGGTATCATTTTAACACACTTGAGCATATTGCCGTGTATTTACGAGACGCCCTGTTGGCCCAATGGCAGAATCCTTTGTATTTACGGGATACGCTTTATCGATCAATGTCTCCGGTGCTTTTCGGTTACAAGCTACAAGAAGCGGCGAGCCAACAGTTGACCCACTTGTTTCGTTTCGTAAAAAATTTGGTGAAGTTACGTGTGATACTTTGAGCTGTAACGGAATAAGTCAGTCACCCCCGCATTACAATAGATGTTTTTTATTACTAATTACAAATTGGGTGCAAACAAAAGTTGCGAAACCCCAAGACAATGCAATTTCAAAATATGGGAAAAAAAACCCCAAAAACTATTGCGACAAATCTGATGCAGTTTTCTTTTTCTGTGAGAGCTTTTTTTTTTTCTTTTGTTGCATTAAAAAAATTATGATAGGTTTGATTGTCTCAGTCTTTTTGTGGTTAACGATTCAATATACCCTAAAACTGTCAGGCTGCAATGGTTGTCGGGTGAAAAATAGCTCAGGCTCAAGTGAGTTATAGTTTGTTCATTTACGTTGGTTTCGATGAAACAAAGATCCATGTATCATAAAAAGAAGTCAAGAAATTTGCGATTGAAGGAGGCAGGGGTCGCCTCGATTCAGAGGTAAAATTAGCGAGAAAATGGCCACCAAAGTTTGGTGACTTCCATAGCTTGAGAGTCGTTTGAAACTGCAAATTATCACTTTTTCTTTGATCAATGTTTTTTTGGGTAAGATTCATACATAAATGTGTTTTTAAATGGACATAAAAGTGCTGGGACAAAACCCCCCCAAAATTCAACAAAAGTTGCCAAACAGATAGAAAAATACTAATTTCTTTGATTACTTCATTTCGACGAGCACCTGATTCCACCATGACGCCTCACATATACAATATATATGGGTTAGAATCCCTGCTGGAGTATTTCGGAACTAAGTAGTTTTATAAGTTTTTAAATTCTTAGTTTTCAATTCAGTCTGATATAAAAACAACCACCTTTTAATCTCTACACTAGGACACGACTTCTGACATGATGCACAAGTTTAGAAAACCTCAATAAAACAGTCAACAGTCAACACAAGACCACATTGACTGCGTTATTGAACAAAAAAGTATGGCAACAGAAAAGACAGTGGAACAATAAAATAATGCTAAACAAAAAACAAGTCAAAAATGCTGGCCACAAAGGCCAACTATGAAACATTAAAAGATGAAAAAGTAGAAAAGAAACATGAAGTACAGTAGTATATAATATTCTTTATGTATACATGTATATATCGCAGTGTATTGTCGGTACAAGTGTATGATGCATAAAATAAATCATGTTCACATTTGATAAATTTATTTTTAAATTACACGACATTCATTTACCTAGCTCTCACTTCAAAGCTTTTCAGTTTTAATAAGTATTTTACGGCAATTGCAACACAAAAAGGTCATATAAGTGCCGAAGATTAGACGTGTCATTACAAGAGAGTAACAAGCACAAAAAAGGAGGAGAGATAAGGACGATAGATGCTTGATAGGAAAGAAGAAACAAACCACACCAGAGCACCTGCCAACCACTCGCTCATTTCAAAGGCACAGGACACCTCCATGGGAATGTTCACAGGGAAACAAGAAGAAAAAACTGACACACCTTCAACATATTTTGTCTAAAGTTACACAAACCGCAGTTTTACAGACAAATTTACGACTCAAACTTCTACAGGGATGCACTGTCATCTCAGCTGCTAGTATCGGTACCATGCTAGGCAGCGGTATGGGTGAACCAGGGTTTGAATCCTTTGCATTACGACGCGGTGGTCGAACTGTTAAAATCTTTTAAGCCCAGGAAGCAATATTCTTCAGGAGAGAGAAAAAAACTGTTTCAATTCTTTGAAAAATTGTACCTCTGTGATTTATGTGTACCTTTTCTTGCTTTTTTCCCAACATTTAGCATTTGAATTTCAAACAAATATTTCAAGAGTATAGGCCTATGTAGCCACAAGTCATCTTGCCCTTTCATTCTTCTTATTCTTCTGTTTTAATGGAGAAATATTCTCCTTTGTGGATGCATTAGTCATGGCCAGATATTGATGGACGAGCTATTATATTATTATAGGCCTAGCCCTATGTAACTCATACGACAGATCAAGACACAGCAATAAAAATCTTTGTCAAAGTTTTGGGCTCAGTATGTTTGAGAAGCTGCAAGATGTATTTTCCTTTCACTTCAGTCTCATTCTCATGTATTGTTTCATAGCACCTTCCTTGTTCATTTTTTATCGTTTTATATGAATTTAGGATTCTTATCCGTTGCAAACGATTAGTTTTTGAGATATTTGATGTATTCCAGTGAATTATTATATCACACTAGGCCTAATTACATAGTAACATAATTGGTAGCTTTTAAGGACAAGCGGGCTAACCCAGATTTCCGGGGTTTCCAGAAATCTTACCTACACCAAAAGTAGGCATTACCCTACCTATAGAGGAGAAGTTTGGTTTCATTGCTATGTATATTTGTTTGGTTATAGAGAAAACTCTCCTCTTTTAAAGAAACTGAACAAGGGTCCAAAACTATACCTTCGATTTTCTCAAAACACCATTTTTCCGGATAGCACCCTTGAGCTTAAAAGCGACCACATATAATATATATATCTTTTGAGTGACTTTCAAATCCCGGGGTCTTTACGGGGGCCATGCCCACCCGAGTCAAAAAAATCTTCGGGGTTTCAGGTGGGACTGTTCTAAAAGGCGTGTGAAATACATATCATGCCAATATACCAAAAGTGGCATGCCTGTTGTGATACCACCAGCTCTATCCAGTTTGAAACAGAGTCACACAAAATGAGAATTAAGTCTCTTTCCATAAAAATAAAAGATAATACTGAACAATTAAATGCAAACACACAATTATGTACATGTCATGTACATACTAGTACCAGCAACATTTTGAGTTCATAACGTTCATGCAGAGTTTTACTTCACACCTTACAGAAAGTCACTACAACAATGGCCATGTTTCACCAGGAAGAAAATTACCTCTACGATGACATTGAAAAAGAAGTAGGGGGGGCATATCAATGCATCATGCAAGAACTTCTGTGAGTGCAATATCCACAATATTTGACAACTCAATCGCTCCTGCCATTATGGATCAGTCAAATCTTTGCCCATCGTGAAGCCTTATAAGTTTTTTTTCCCTCAGAGAAAAGACAAACGACATTCAGATACACCGAAGTCCACTTCAGATATATATGTGTCACGATGCGGTGGAATCAGGCGCTTGTCAAATTTTGGGCATTTGGAGATATTGGTATCAACTTAAAGCTTGTTTATTTGTGTTACTTTTGATGAAAGAAATACCCATCTATCTATTCTTGAATAGAAATCAGTATATTTGCGATAGAAGGAGGAGGGGTCTCCTGGTCTCAGTGGTAAAATTAGCGATAAAATGACCGCCAAAGTTTGATAATTTCAATAGCTTGAGAGTTCCTGAAAGCGATAAAATAACATATTTTGTGCCTTTAATCAACGTTTTTCTAAGAAATTCACATGGAAATGCGTTTTTATAAGTACACGAAAGGTGTTGAGCCAAAAAACGGAAATTTGATAAAAATTGCCAAACTGGTGGAAAATGTGCCTGTTTCTTCAATTTAACTATTTTGATGAGCGCCGGATTTCACCAAGATGCCTCACATATATGTAAAAATTAAAAAAAAAAAGTTTTATTACCTAATCAAAAGCTACAATCTTGATATGATTAGAGTATTCTCCACTCGAGCGAATCATTTATATCATAAGATCAGTGTTTATCAAACTGGGTGAAATTGCCCGCTAGTGGGCGATGTTGTAACGCTAGTGGGCGGTGAGGATCACCCAGGTAATGACTAGTGTCATTGAACGCTTCGCTTGGAAATATGTGCATAAACAAATACATTCATGTATGCATATCAATTATCACCCACTCACACATATTCACCATCGGGAATCAGTGGTATTTTAACAGCCCAATTGACATGATTCATAAAAAAGGAACATGCAAACTGTGCGAAAAACAGCAGGAATTTACTATTTAGTTAATTTAGTGATATGGACAATGGTTGAGTTAAAGCATGATCAACAGGGGCTGATATTCACTGACAGCACAAGAACGTTCATGATAACTCTCTGCCAGTACAAAAAAACACACATGACTAGATAGAAGAGGACACATTATACACGCACAGACACCAATGCAAGAGTAAAAATGAAAAAGCAAAAACTTATTCACAATCAGCAAAATTTCTGAAAACATTAGGGAAAATAGCACCCACATCAAGAAATAGTAACTCACAGGCCTGCTGTTACCATCAAGTCTGAGATATTAACCAAATCAAACTCTTTTTTCTTTTCTAATGATAATTTATCAAAATCAGAATATAATGGCAAAGATTATGGAAAATCCCATGTAGACTTATTCGTTCAGGGAATTACAAAATAAGTAAAGTTGTTCCCGCATCCGATCTGGACATTGGGGATTGCCTTATGATAGTTCAAGACAACTTCCTGGGCCTTCGGCATATTGTGGTAGGGTGGCCAGTTCCTTTCCATGCCGCCTTTACTTCCCCAACTCAAAATCAGGTACCTATTACTGCTGGGCGGGCAGGTGGGGGTGAAAAAAATCTGTGTCCGAACCGAGGCTCGAACCCGGACTTTCTGCTTCGGAGACGAGCGCACTAATCGCTCCATCACCGCACGTATAATCTAGAAAAAAGCAAACAAACAAAAGGAAAAAAAAAAAGAAGCCTGTTCAAGCTTATATTCAGCATAAAGGGTGAGTGTTCATAAGAGAAATGATCTATTTTTGTTCAAAGGTTTGTGACGCAGGAAGACAACAGAAAAACCCATGGCTGTGTTGGAAAAGGCTTCAAAGTACTAACACACGTCAACTGAAACACAGCACAAGGAAAGAATTAATATATCTATGATGGAACCATCAACCACTAGTAGCAAGCAAAAACTGTTACTGTCATGGTAAACAGGGCAAATTTTTTTTTTACAAAACAGCAAGTCCCTTGATTTAAGACATAAAATGCCAATATTTTGACACCAACCATTTTCACTCTTCTCTCCCTGCCTGGCTCAACCAAAACATACTCTCCTCCTGATCGATTCAAAATGAAAAAAAAAAATTATATGTATATATAAATATACATATATATATAAAGGCCCTACTGGTATCATACATTATGAAAAAAAGATACTACTCATGACATGAATAATACTTTGACTGATTGTGCAAACTCTTAAAGAGAAAAGAAGAGGACTACGTAAAACTTATACACTCCACCATTGCGCTCCAATTTTCAGTGCAAGTGTTGATGGCAGTAATTACTATCGCAATGCATTAGAAAGGGGTTTTCTTATATGGACAGGTTGAGCAACATTGCCTTTCTTAGAGCTTATACTCATATGGGATAGAGCGCTGTATAAATCCAATCTAACAATTATCATTATTAAAAAATTAGCAGTGATAGAAAAAAAGCGGTAAAAGTAAACTTGGGCCCCCCCATTCAGAACTTAAATGACCCAGCATGCACATCCAGGGCCTCCACTCCCCCTGGGGCCACACCTGGGTTACCGTGACCTCATGTGCGAAAGGTGCTTTTGAAGAATCAACTTTCAAGAAATCACAAGGACAAAGAGTATAATTTGTGATTGCCCAAACATTTATAAGTTCTGTTTCACATCCGCTCTTCTGACATGCCAACTTGCAGGACCACTGGCAACATCTTTCTCCTCCCACTCTTCCACAAGCCACAGCATTATATTGCAAAACAGATTCTCCATCTTCTCACATTCCTTCATGAGAATGAACCACATTATGATGATATTAATGCATGTGATATTCTCATTATTTCAAGAACTTTAAGACTGGAATGAGTAAACAGTGTAATAAATCTCATATTCATACATCAACACCATACATGTCATCATAATGAATTGAAAAAGAAGAGGAAACTATACAGTATTCATTATGAACGAGTAACATTTCTGAACCAGATATGACATGAAACCCCATGCGTTTGTATTTGAAGCATCACTTTTTTCCCCCACAATACAACTCATTTATTTCATCTGAATGATCTATTTATATTCTTGTCCACCAAGCGAGAACCCCCCTCCCCTCATAGAACAACAACCAAAAAAAACCCCCAACCCCCCCGCCCCAACAGATAGAGAATCTTCCCAGACTCAGCAACATTCAGAATTCTGTATAGAACAAATCAAAGTTCTGCCACACCATCTGTTATTTGGAAAGTCACACTTTTCCTCCAGTCAGCCCAACGAGCCAGTCTATCTCAATACACCAATATCTGCAAAGAAACTTATCGAGGGAATTTGGAGTGAAAGTCGTAGTACTAAGTCTGAGATCATATAAATAATAAGAGCTCTGATCGATCAAACACTCACACACTTGACAGTTCCTTCATACACTGGAAATTTTAAAGCATTGGGTTGTTGATTTTTCGACACTTCCGCATGATGCAAGCTTTCTCCTGTTGGTCCAAATTCAAACATTAGCTTGCTTGCGACACCTCAGCTCAGAGTCAATGAGATGCTTCATCTGTCACATACAGCATAAAGTAAAGTATAATGATCTACACATATTTGTACAGAGGATCCCTGTGTCACCTGTAGGGTACCTTGGCAACAAGGACGCGAAAGTTATCTCCAAGTCCAGCCGCCAACATAATCCACAGGGGAATGAGGACATAGTATAAGCTGATGGAGAAATATTCCAGACGAAGGCAAACCAAAAACTGGAATGCAATCTTGAAGAGGCAGCAGACCAAGAGTGCATACTTGCGTTTCATTGTCATCTCGTTCCTGTCCACATGGTGCAAATAGTGCGGAGACCGATAGTGGATGATTATGTTCACTGCAAAAAACAGAAACAATAGTAAAATTACAAACATCTAGCAGATTGACTTTGGGAATATATTCGAAGGAAAGATGAGAATTCTTTCCACTCCAAATACCCCCAACCACCCATCATAATGCAGAATAAATGGCACCGGTGAAGTTGAAGGTCTACCACAGAGGAATTCCGTAATGAGCGACCACTATGAAAGAGAGTATCTAATAGAGGGTTAGGGTTAGGTTAAAGGGGAAGGGGTACGGGTTACTTTCAGACCTGCACACAGATGCGCTGTTTTGGGGGCTGAACTGCCATAATTTTTGCTGCAGAACACATGATGCTGGCCACTAAAACCTTTGCAAATAAATTGTATTCAAGAAGATACCAAACCTAATTGGCTTAGATTCTTTTTAGGTCAGGGGGACATGCCCCCCCCCCCCCCAAACCCCCCATGTTGTTAAAATATTACTTAAACTATGCCATTTCATTGGTCCTATATATATATATATATATATATATATATATATATATATATATAATAATAATAGATATAGCATTTGTATAGCACAAATCCCCGCTCAACAGCAAGCTCTATAGCTATGCGCTTCACAATCTATACTACAGTGGAACTCGAATTCAACGAGGTCGCCGTGCCTGACCAAAAATCTCGTTGAATCCGAGTGTTCGTTACAGCAAACACGAGGTTTTGTGTAATTACAGGCACTGAGCAAGTAATGTCCACCAAAGATGTATAAAGAGAAGTCACAAGTAGTGCCTGCAATGCTTGCATATTATGAGCTGCGTAAAAAAAAGACCGATTTGTTCAAATATGCACACGTCTGTGTCATCTCGATTGTTTACCAAAAAGTTGTGTTGCTGTGTAGAGCCTAGCAGCATTTTAACGGCAACTTTTGATTCCATAGACCAGTGCACAATTCATTACGTAGATCTACGTCAAGACTAGCTTTCTTTGTAATAATGATCAGTTACCGGGGGGGGGGGAAGACTGAGTGAGACCATTTTTTATCTGCGACGTTCAACGCCCGGACCGCTAGTGCCCCCCTCCTTTCCCCCCATACGCACACACAGTCGCACGTGTGCAGGCTGCCCTTTCGACCCCGACACATGCAAGAGTAGACACGTGCACGTGCCAACAACACATGTGTGTTGGTATGAAAAAAGGCCGCTGATTGGTCTCATGCAATCGGCTAAGTGAATAATGCCAATGGTTCATGATCAGGTGCAATGATGGTTTCCGGGAATGGATAATGTTCGTTCTGAGAGGAAAATGAGCGAAGCCACGTCTGTGGGGGCTATTCACCCTGGAAGAGACCTAGTTGAATCCGAGCTCGCTGATTTTACTGCTCATTGAATCCGGGTTATTTTTATTGATTTTAAAGAAGAAAAAAACGGGGAATCTATCTCATCCGTTGAATCCGAGCTCGTTGAATCCGAGTTCCACTGTATAAGTATTACCCCAGCAGAACTGAGAGCATTCTGAAACAAACTAAACTTCCTGGGAAGCATACAGTGCAAGCAGCCATTTATAGGCGCTAAAACACTAACATACTGACAACATCTTTCGCTGTCTGTGGCCGGGTACCCATTTCCACCTGGGTGAAGAGTGAAGTGAAAAAAATTCGTGTACTGTAAAGTGCCTTTCCCAAGGACAAAACGTCGGGCCCGCGGCTCGAACAAGTCTGGTAGCCTAACCACTAGGCCACCGACGCCAACTTCTCCATTCAACCTTGTGGATTTGGGGTGTGACGAGATGACTGTGACGTCTTGACTGCACCACGGTGTGACGAAATGACAGTGTGACGAAATGACTTGTTCGAATAGAGGGTTAAGGCTAAGGGTTGGAGTTGGGTAGGAGTAGGGTTACGGTTAGGGTAAAGAGGATTATGTCTCTTCTTTATTGTGTTTGTTGATGTTTGGGGGGGGGGGGGGGTAAAAAGACTCTTGACTCAAACTCAACTTGATGATGTCTAAACTCTAGAGACTCTTAAGACAAAAGAAGTCTTGTTATTGTTGACGAACATTGAACAAAACAACACACACGCGAGGATTTTACTTCACCTATGATGTATATCATGATGGCAGCATCGAATATCCATAACGGTATGAAAATCAGAAACCAGTTCCAATCAACAGTGTCATCTGCACGAAGCACAAACAGGATAAAAAATATCAGTGTAACAAACCAAGTGAATAGGGCCTTATGAACAGTCGCCATTTTCTAACAAATGAGCTGGTTTTTGACTCTTTTCGCAGAAGAAATCGATCAATATTGTGTAAACTTATTTTCATTCAAATAAGAGTGTTTTCATAAGATTTATTTGCCTGGGTCCACTCAAACAAGCAATCAGTCAATAAATTAAAGGTTGTGTGTGATAATTGATTGGACTTTTTGTTTTACAAATATTTTCGACTTACGTTTTGTAAGGAATAAATTCAGAATAGATTGAGGCTATGCTGTCATTGTTTTGACAAGTTTCATACTGAATCATACTAAAAAAAAGCCAATTTGGCAAACTACTTAAGGAACAAGTTTTTTTCTTAAAAGACTTCTACTTTCTGCAACAACAACAAACCAATGTGTTCTTTGGCTAAAGGCCTCGTTGGCTAAAAGTAAAAGGCAAGCTGTTTACAGACTATTATTCGTATACTATAGTATAGATAGAGTTGTAATACAGTAGACCTAGACCTTCTACTGACCTTTGAATCATCAGTCACAATGAATAGAGCAAAGAAAAAGGGTGAAGACTTCAAAACATTTTTTGGAAACAAAAAAGAAGGTATGTGAGCCTGATTAACAACCTCTCAGCCTCTGTCTACTTTAGTTTGTCCTGACTCTGACTGAACTGACTGATAGATCCAGATCTAAATCTATATCTAGATCTAGATTTTCTATCTAGATCTAGATTCTAGATCTAGATATCTAGATGTAGATCTAGAATCTAGATCTAGATCTATATATCTACTAGATATCTAGATCTAGATCTAGAAATCTAGATATAGAATCTATATATAGATCTAGATCTAGCCTATAAATCTAGACAGTAGATCTAATACTCAATTAATAAAACAGAGTAATTAAAATTTAGGCCATATCTAGATCTAGTTCTAGATAGATCTAGATTTCTAGATTCGCTGTGTCTACGTACACGGTAACCGGGCACCTAAGCTAGCCGGCGCTTTTTCGGTAGTTCCCACCCCGCATTTGTTATTCGCCGGTTTTGGCCCCAAGAGTAGGGGGGTTTCAGGGGGGCTT